TGTATGAGGCCCTAGGTTGAGCTCCAGCTTGGGCCTCAGGAAGCTGAGACAGGAGGATCTATCCAAGTTTGATGCCAGACTGGGCTACATAGTGGGTTTCAGGCCAACCTGGGTTACAAAGTAAAGGCCTTTCTCAAAAATATTTTTTTTCTAATTTTTTTTAGCTTTATCTAAAATGACTGAAACATGGAAAATGAGTTAGTGACTGAAACCTACTCTGTACGATTAATTGTAACCTGCTGATTGTGCCTGCTGTGCTTCAGCAGAGAGATGCCTGATGAAGTAGTAATGGCTAGTCTAGGAGACCAGGAGACTGGATTTGAGGCCAGCCTGGATCCCTGTCTCAAAAACAACAAAAAGAGTTAAGCCAGACAAAAAGAAACACAAGTTATTGTTACATCTTGATAACTATAATAATTCTTGGGCAACTGATTTTGATCATAGCATTTGAGTACTTGATGAACTGACAGATATTATTGCTAAAATACAGGATATAGCAAGGGATTTGTGACGATCAAGAGTAGCAACCAAAAGGATCTAAGTGCAACACCGTTAAAATATACATCTGATTATTAATTTTTTATGTAAAGATGTTTTTATGATTGTTACATCTTGATAAGTTCATCAGAAGTTGAAAATACTATAACTTGTTAATGCATTATGTCAGTCATAACTTAGCAACATGGTACACCATCCACTATCAGCTTGTGACCATGTGGCTGACGGGAAGGTACAGCTTGATACCACTGCCTACCAATGCCAGCAATGCGGTGCCCTCTTTTACAGTCCAGGAAAACACTGAAATTAAAAGTGTGATTGTGCTGAATATACCAGCGAAGAGAATGGGAAAGAAATCCACGTTAGGAACTACATATAACTTTTCTGTTTAGGGGGTGTTGCTCAGAGGTGCAAGGCTTGCCTAGCGTGGTATTGTGCATACTGAGCAAGTGTTCTGCCCTTGAATTATTTATATACATCCCTGGCCCCAGATCAGATTTTTATTTTTACTATTCCCTCACTGTGTTTAACATAGCCAGTGTGTACGGCTTATTTAAAGAGTGGAAACGCAGCAAGTAAGACAAACAGTTCACTCCAACCTGGACACCACTTAGCTCCTGTCAAGCACACACTGCCCTGGGACCCCTGGGACCGTCAGTTCGAGACTCTTAAGATGAGTTAGTAACAAAAGGGACTGGTGAGGACTGCTGTTGCCAAGAGAGAAGTTGGGTAAGGTGCAAGAGGGCCCCATACTAACTCTTCAGTTCCTGGCAGTTTCCCTCATTGCCAAGAAGCCAAGGTTTCTACAAACACATTAGACCACAAATCAGGAGACATACTTGGTTTTGAGGCCTTGTGAAATCAAAATACTTTTGGATATTGCCTTTTTTCCTCTATGTATAAAACGATGACCCAAATAATGTATAGTAATATTTCTTATACAGGTTTGACTTAACTTACCTTTATGTGGCTTAAAAACAAACACCTATAAAATCCCAACCTTTATCAAGGTTTCTTCCCTCAGATATGTCCCCTGCTTGGTCATTATGAGAATAGTACTTCCAGATTTGCAAATCTTCAGTAGTAAAATGTGAAAATAGCAAGGGCCATATGGGTTTACAGAACAGTGTCCAGATGGATATAGGATGAGACAGTTCATGCATTAAGCCCCCTGCACCAAGCTTTCCTCCCTTAGAATACTAGCTTTACTGCCATACAGGCAAGGCAAGACAGAAGGCTGACTGCATCTTTAGTAGAAATTGTCTGTACTAGCAAGCTCTAGTTTGTGGTCAGAATGGCAGAAAAAGGCAGGCCGTTAAAACCCATTCTGTGTGTGATGATAACGGTATGAGCAGGCCTGCATTTCTGCTCCAGAACTCACTCCAGAATACTTCAACATAGCCTCAAAGAAGCCAAAAGGAATCCATGAGACAACTGAGATAGGGCTAAGGCCTCATAAGCCATCATCTTTAAGCAAACTGTAGAGCTGTATCCCTATTTTAACTTGCCAGTGTTTTAGTGATTAACCATTTAAACAGGCGGTCCCTGGTGGTAAGGGTTGTGGAGTCAATTTTCAACTGTTGGCATGAGTAAATCACTGATGGTTTAGACATACTGATGGACTTATGTGTTACTCTACTACTAATATGCATGATGTGCAGAAGTAATGTGTGTTGGAGAAAATGTCAAACTCCTCAAAACCCTTAAAAGTTTAGTGCCATTCCAACGATTGTCATAGACATTTATGTTTGTTTGAATTTAACATTTTAAAGTCTGTTGGCATTGCTTTTTTGTAAATTTTAACTTGTAAAATTTAACTATGACATAGTGCTTGCCCATAACGTTGTAAGAAGCTTCAGTCAAACTCACTAACATTGAAGCCTTGTTAGCCACTACACAGTACAGACTTTGTTGTGAACATGACAGATAAGTCCTGCTACATGCTACAGGATTCTCATCTTTACAACAGTCTACACGCTACAGTTACTGTTTTGATTCCTGTCCTCCCCATGCTTCCTGGAAATGTCCTTACTGTTGACAGTTCTGGGACTATGTGACAGGGGAACTGACCTACTTAACATTGAAAGAACACAGTGCCAGTGGCCAGAATTCATCTTGGGATAGTGTGTAACAGCTAACCTAATATGTCGTCTAATCACCGTTTCAAGGGCAAAATAATTCATCCATTCACTTTGTGCTGATTGCATAAAATTGTTCAAGGTAGAAATTCCAGCAACTTAAGAACCTAAATATAAACACATATGGTAATGACTTAGTATGAATAAAATTAGAGAAAGTTGTAATTTATCTACAACTAGACTACTGAGAATCTGTTTGGTTGAACATCTTGATGTAAAGGTGTATCCAACTCTGAGAAGTGTGACATCTATTTTTTTGCTTGTTTGTTTTTTTTTTTTTTTAATCTTTTGCACTGGCTGATAGTACTGGATCCTAAATACCTACTCAGTCATATTCTACTACACATACACTCATTTTCGTGCTTCCTCTTAGACTGCAGTACCTATAGGGTTTGCTCCCTCATCTTCATCTACATTTAAGTGTGATCACCAACACACACTTGCTTTTAAATACCAACCTTTTATCTCCAATCCAGCATTCTCATGCTCCAGATAAACTTAGGTATTTCAACATCGCCAGTTCTCTATTCAAGTAAATTCCTTGCATTCAGTATGTTCAAAACACGGTTTCTTAACTCACTTCCAACATTTACAAATCAAGGCTGTAACTGACACTTTCCCCTCTGTATTGTCTGCCGTGGTTATGTGCACTTCGATCTACCGTCTTGCCAACTTTTTGTCTATAATAGTGCTGATTTTATGTTTTGGTCTAAGTGTGCAACTGGGTTACCAGTTATTTTACCTACATTAAAAACACTTCATGTGCTTTATGCCTATAACAGACCTGTGTCCAGCATATTCCAATGTTAGCCTTCAGTGTTCTGTCCCGATTCAGTCTTCCACTCAGTTGCTCCAACCTAAAACCTAAGTCTGCCTCCCTTGTGATCAATCCTAACACTGACTTAAAGATAAATAGGATGTGTTTTAAGACACATAAATTAGTTCCCCTGTGTGTATGGAATATTCCTGGAAGGAAACATAAACCAATCATACATTCTATTGTATACTTGTATACTTTGTTCTTTGAATAACCTATTCCCAAACTAATAGAATTTAAAGTGCAGCTTTTTGAAGAACTGGGAATAGAAACAAGTACCGGTGAGGGGGTGCCTGGTATTTCACACTATCTCCTGCATTGTTTCCTTTTGAAGTACTAAAAAACTACATTCAGACGCAGCCATCCTTAACATAGAAAAAAACCGTACCTTTACACAGTCTTTCCATCTCATACCTTGTTTAAAAGCTAGACTCTGCACAAAGGATGACGTAAGTGAAGGTACTACTTTTTGTTGATATTAAAGCTGGGTAGTGAGTGGTGGCCCACACCTTTTAGCCCCGCACTCAGGAGGCAGAGGCACGCAGATCTCTTGAATTCAAGGCCAGCCTGGTCCAGAGAGAGTTCCAGGACAGTCAGAGCTACACACAGAGAAACCCTGTCTTGAAAAACAAACAAGAAAAGGAAATATAGGCAGGTAAATTACAGAAAAAAAAAAAAAAAAAAAAAAAAGACAATGCAAAGCATTGGAGAAAAGACCCATGTAGCACCTGGGATGGAGGCCAAGGGTATTATTGACATCTGAGTAGGTGCCACTACCATTCTACAATACACAGGACACCTGCCTACAGGTGACAGTCCGCTCCAAAATGTTGACACCGTTGAGTCTGAGAAAACTTAGTAAACAACCAAATTAACGTGTATTCTTACAGAAACTATAATGCCCCATTTTCTTGAAATCACGTTTCAAGCCTTTCAAAATAGCTTTAAACCATGAGGATTGTTGCTGTGATCTGATGCTTTTCTGAAATTTTCACATTGAACTCTCAATGGCTAATGGGACAAAAAGTTAAAGTTTGGAAAGTGACAGCCAGGAAGGCTCCACCCTCTTGATTAGAATGAATGTCCTTATGAAAAGGATGAATGAGCTCCTCTGCCCCATTCCACCTTGGGAAGACACAACAGAGCAAGCGCTCACACTCCCGGTGCTATGGCTTGGGTTTCCCACCCTCCAGAACTATGAGCAGGGTTTGTTTATAAATGGCCCAGTCTAAGACATTCTTTTAATGCAGCACAAAGGGACCAAAACACTTCTGTTTAATATGTATTTATACACTTATAATTCATCTGAAAACATGGGTTTATTTCTAAAATAATGGGATTCCAGAAGCTTCAACTTCAATGCTGTATAAAAATAAACACTGGAATGCATATATGTGTGTTTCACTAATACTCACTGATAACAGTCTGTATTCTTGTTAAGGGATATGAGGGTGGAAGGAAGAGGCTCCATACAGAAAAGGAGGAAGCTGAAGCTTTAGTAGATGTCGGTAAAAAGCAAAATAAAGCCACACCACAAGGCAGAAAACTACTTTCTTCATTTTATTTCAAAAGTACACAAGGTCACAAAACTAAGAGCAAGTTCCTGGTTTTAAACAAAATTGTTCTTACAAACTTTTAAATCTGCATCATTGGATATGGAAGCCAGAAATTTGAAAGACAAAAATCTGAAAATGACACTACCCATACTCTACTCTGCAAATGTGGGGTGTCAAATTAGTATTCTTGGTACAACTGGATTTATTGCCAAAATTCACAGTTAGGGACAAGCATAAGTCAATCAGTGAATTGGGGTCCTCTTGACACCTGTATAGTTCAACAAATGAGCAGAAGCCACAGAGCTGGTCCTTAGCAGAGTCTTGGGTGTCCTCACACCAACCCAGCTGATGGCATCTAGATTACAAACTACAAACTCAGACATATATTTTGTAAGCTTGATCTTAGGGTTTAGAGTCAAATTCCGGAAAGTAAATGGCTGGCCTTCTAGAAGGAGAACTCCCCACAATTCACAAATTTACATATTATCTTTCCTTCTTTCTGTAATATTTCCAAATGGAGTCTTGCTCAAATAAATATACGTTATGGTAGTGTCAAGGTAGGCAAATACAAAATTCTATTGCAGAGCATGTTGCCTTTATTGCTGGAATATCCAGCGGCATTTGAGATATTAAAACTTGCCCAGAAGATTTATACTACAAAACACAAGGATGCTGTGGAGAAATATGTACATATATAATATATAATGTCACAAACCACCTAATATCGTGCCAGCATTTTTCTACACACTATTCTGCAAGTGACATGTTTAAAGCGTCCACCACATAAAATATGGACTTTTTCTGTTCACTGAAATAAGGCAACTGAGAGCACTCTAAACACAGTTGAAACAAAGTTCAGAAGAAACAAAAACCTATGAACAACATTCACATAGCTTCAAATTCACATGCTGCTTACACAGAGACAGTATTTAATAAGTCACACATTAAGTAGCCAACTCCATGCAGTGAGTTCTTTTTAATCAAGGTTTACTTGCCTCTTCACTTAAATTCTAAATCCCCAGGACTCAATCTGAAATTCATTTCTTTAAAGAATTCAGACTCAAACCTCAGTCTGCCTATTCAAGACAAAACCCTTGGACACTGAGTTCAACCCCAAGTGTTAGGTCTCTCAGTGTGGCTCAGGCTTGCTTTGAACTGGTTACTGGCCTCAAATCTAAGATCTTCCTGCACCTCTAGAGTTCTGAGATCAAAGATGTGTACAATCACATGTACCAGAAATTAGGCATTTCCATAATCTACAGGAATCTTTCCCCCTAAACACACTCAAGCTGTGTTAACATTCTAATAAATCCTTAGCTGATAACTCAAACTTAAGGAAATGCTTTTCTATATGTAACTTGTCAGGGAAATCAATACAAGACTTGTGAGCCTTGTTATCATACTCATAAGTTTCTGTGTAATGTATGTAACCCAGTGTCATTTCTCTCCAGATTACCCCATGTAACATTAAAATAGGGTTCTAAGTCTGTCTAGTATAAAGTAGAATAGAGAGGTCTGTCTGCTCTGAAGACACAGTCCTGGCCCTGACTGTTACTAGTGCTCTAGTTAAAATGCAATAATAAAGTTGTTAACTGCTGAACACAACAAGTATTAATTCTAGAACAAATACCTGCTCCCTGATTTAATTAAAATCAGCAATGAGAACTGTTTGGGAAACTACTAGTACTTGTCTGAGCTTTTGGGTAGAACTGAAACTTACAATGAGAATACTACATACCAAAGCTGAAAATTTAACTGTAGCTCTAATTCTATGTCCTATAGGTCCTTTTCTATTTTTCAATTTTTTTGTTGTTTTGTTTTTTTTTTTAAACAAGCTTGACTTTCAGTTATAGTTACTGCAGATCTGGACTGAAATACTCAGATACTCTACGTTTTGTTTGCCTTTAAATAAATACCAAGTATGAGGAAAGGAAGATCATATACATACACCTAAGTGATTTCTACCTAGCATAATCTTAATTATGTAAAAAAAAATTAAAATTTACATTTTAAATTTTCTTGTATTATCTTGTAAAAATGTCAAAAATCTGACCATAAAACATGGCTATGGTTATAAATCAGAAACACGGTCAAAGAGTACTGGGGGCGTGATTATTTTTTTTTAATCTTTATACACAATGGCGTCACTTAAGTGACATCAAAAAGAGAGCAGAGGAGAAGAGGCAAGATTGAGACTCTTAAGGGTAGGAAGAGTCACAGGGATGTGCTTTTGGAAATAGTACCTTCACCTCTAAGCACCTCCCAGGTAGGTGATAGCCAGCTCATAGGCACCAAAAAGTCCTAGTAGAAATCAAATGACCCAAAAAGGCACAGATGAAAACATTAACACAAATATAAAAGGTAATTTTATGTGAGGTTAGAACCTATTTTACAAAATGCTTCCAAATATGTAAAACTGTACACTAATCCATTGCATGGACATTCAGCTTAAATTCACCATTATAAAGTATACACAATACTCTGCCTAATTGTAAATGCATGCCAACATTAATTTACAATAATGTAGCATTTACCAGCGCAGCACCTGAAGAGATGAACAGAAAACGATTCCCTGGGGGAAAGGTTTTGAAGTTAATGGAATCTTTTATTACAGACCATATCTACTATAAAGAAACTGCTGGCTCATTATAATCTACACACACTCCCTCACAATCTTAAGGGAAATACAATAAATTCACTTTTTTCTTCTACAAAAACTATATTTAATACATTTGGCAGGTAGGAGTATTTCCCTTTACTCCTTTTTAAAATTTCTTTTAAAAGTATGTCACTTCACAAAACTAAAATCAAATTTGATTTGTGAGAATTCTAGAGGCAGGTCTGGCCACAGGACAGCAAGCATATTGCCCCAAGTCTGGAATTTAGGGCTGATAAAAACACTTAACTTGCCTCAAGTATATTTGTTCACTGAGTCTTGGAGGAAAATAACCTCCAGAACTGTACTCCAGATAATAAGCCTGCATCACATGTTTCTACAACATAAAATGTGAAGTACGGTAGATCACAAAACAAAAATACAAATTTAAAAATCAATAATTTGAGAATTCTCATCTATAACTGCCAGATGATAACTTTTTTTTGTTGTCTTTCTTTACTTTCTTTTTCATTGCAAAAACATCACCGAACACGGAAGGTTAGTGTTTAGCTTGGACTGACAAATCCTGCACCGTCATCTGTCTGGTCAGCTTTGCAGATGTCCACAGGCCTCGAGGCACTGGACATAATTAAGGGTTTCACCCACAGGCCCCAAGGCACTGACATAATCAAGGGTTTCACCCATAGGCCCCCGGGGTACTGGACATAATCAGGGGTTTCATCTCTGTATGGAGAAGCAAATGCTTCTGCTAAATCTCAAATGTGCTCCTTTTCCATAGCACATAAAGGCTATTACTTCCTGTTGCCTCTGCAGTCTATCAGTGAAATACTTAAGAAACTGTTCTACAGCCAGTATAGTAATACAGACTTGGAATCCCAGCATTCAAGAAGCTAAAGCAGAAGGATCATGATTCGAGGCCAGCCTAAGCTACCCACTAAGACCCTATCTCAAAACAGAACACAAAAATAAAAGAAAGAAATTATCTCATAACATTCATGAATGACTTAGAAAGGAAGCTAGTCATTTCTAAAACACTGTAGTGTCTCCTACTCTTAGAGATATCCTAAACACACTTAGAATTCTCTGAGAGACTTATAAAAACAAATTCAAACATTGTCATTTTTCCATGGATGTTTCTTAAATTTGGGGGATACTGTTGTTCATAACTAGATTATCATTTTGGTATGTCTGTAAATTCACAAATTTCTTCACCTATGACATCATATTCAAAGTGCCATTGAAATCAACTTATTAAGAAAACTCGTCTTCTCCAAATGATCAATGCCATTACTATTAAGCCTTTACTGTTTCACTATAATCCAAAAAAAAAAAAAAAAAAAAAAAAAAAAATTGTGGTGCATGTTCCTTCCTTATATAAGGTTTCTCAATAACTTCTTTGTGTGTGTGTGATGCGCACACACATACATTTTGGGGCTGCTGTTAGCAAAATTTAGACTAGAATAAAGAGAAGAAACGAACCATGGAAAACAATAGAAAACAGAGATGCAGAATTCTATACTATAGACCCATCCTTGCTTTGCGCTGGAATCATCACCGGAACCGCTCCCATTCGACTTAGATTAGGGGCAGCTACCTTAGCCGGTGCCAGAGTAGGACTCTGAGGAGGAACTCGTTCAAAGTCTTCACTGGGCACTTGGTTATACTGAGTCTTGGAATACCCTTCCATGTTGGAAGGGGACATGGATCCCAGGGAGGAGTGGTTGCTGCCAATGTAGCTCCTGGCAGTGGATGTCCGACTCTTCGGAGGCGGCACATCTTCCCTGCAAAACAAAGACCCCAACACAGGCTAAAACGTTAGCTTCAAAAAAAACCTACAATCGTGTAAGCCACACATCATGGGTAAGTATAAAAATGCAAACACTGAGCAAGGCCTAACATGATTAATTGTGTACCTGTCCCAATTCATTATGTTGGTGAAAGCACAAAAATCAGTTAATGAACTATGGGTTTTGTACAAATGCATATGGTTTCGTAACATCTAATAAGAAAGAATCTCAGTTTTGTATACTAGCATCAACGATCATCTAGTTAGCCACATATACATACACTCCTAGCCCCAAAGGAAGGGAAGAATTCCTTTTCACTATGAAAGTTCTCTAAGACTTTAGCAACCACAGATTTCTGTTTTCAAAACCTGAGAATTCATAGCTAAGAATTTTCATCAAGCACTGACATAGACTATAAGCTGATGGGAGATGTCTTTCCGTATGCTATGACTATATGTTTCTCTTATTGGTTGATGAATAAAGTTGTTTCAGCCAATAGACAGGTAGGATTTAGCCAGGTGGGAAATCAAAACAGGGATAGAAAAAGGTAGTAGGTGGAATTAAGGAGGCGCCATGTAGCTACCAGGAAAGGTAGGAGGCCCGGGCATTCTCTGGTAAGGCCATGTGGAGATACACAGATTAATTGTTATGGGTTAATAATAATTAAGAGAGAGCTAGCCAGTAATAAGCCTGAGCAAAAGGCCAAACAGTTTATAATTTATATAAGTCTCTGTATGTTTATTTGGAACTAAAGGACGGCGGGACCAGGTGGAACAGAAATCTGATCACCTTAGGTTCATCTTAAAAAAACAAGTGCTACAGTTTCCAACCTCCAGACCCAACAGCAATTTCCAGGTTGTTAATCCATTTAAGTCATGTGTACAATCCTAATTAAAACCTACCAGTTTAGAATATTTAAGAAAATAAGCCATGTGTGGCAGGAGACTGGAGCACAAGGGTTAGGAGTTCAATGTCAGTTTGGGCAACTTGGTGAGACTTTCTCAAGAGGAAAAACTGCATTCCCAGTCCCACAACTACCCACGCCGCTAACGACAAACAAGTCTTTCCATACGAAGCCTCGGGTGTTCTTGAGACAACCATTTTGCGTAATTCTCAAAATAAGGAAATGGGAAGGGTGGTGGGAACATGAATGCCGGGAAATGATTTGAATGAAGGGAGGAGCCAAAGTTTGTACCCAGTTTTCGTAATACTGTCCGTTTGAAGGCTTCCAGAACTGACACTTACAAACGCTGGCTACATACCTGTCAAATCTACTTTCACTTAATTACCTGATATCGTGATGAACTTCCTTCTCATACTTCTCTTCTCTGCGTTTTCTGTGACAGCAGAAGAGGATGGCACCAATGAACACAAGAGCCAGCAGCGTCCCTATGATAGCCCCTGCAATTGTCCCAGCTCGGTTTGAAGCTGGAATAAGATTTCAACAGGATCAGTAAGAAGAAGAAAACCCACACACATGGCCTACTACTGAAAAAGTACAGCATATAGAGATAGACGCCTCTCACTGCATGTAGTACCTTTCAAAAGACTGATCAGCAAGGCTTTTGTCTAGCAAGAAAGACAAAATATGTTTAAAAAAATACTTTTTTGAATGTCGTATCACCAAATCTAGAAAACTGATGTAATTTGAGTCAAGGCTATCTTGATTGGCACACAAAAGTGTCATAAGCTCCTCCTCCTTTATTGGCTAAATAGTGTACTGAAGCTGATTTGACAACTTTCAGTTACACAAATGATGGTCTTATTGCTAGAGTGACATGTCTTTTCTTCTGCATGAACTAGAAGAGACAGTAAATACCCACAGCGTCCTAACCAAAGTGAGCATGGTATCCTTGCCTTCAATACGCCCTCACTGACTAAATTAAACGAGGCCATGAGATTCTAGCAGAAGCAAAGCAGATGAAAGAAACCACTCACGAGGGACGACGTCCAGACGCAGCATACACTGGTCAGAGCCCACTCTATTTTGGACTGTGCAACTGTATGTTCCAGAATACTCAGAACTGGCATTTTTCACAGATATAACTGGTGAAGTCATTTCTATGGAAAAAGAGGTAAGGGTGGGGAAGCAATTATGTTTTTACAGGATGTACAATTACTCTCCATTTTTAATAAAGATAATAAGACTTACAGAAGTTTGACAAGCAGAAGGCATCCAGTGTCGGATACAAACACACTGAGAGAGCCAGACGCACATTCCAGATTCATGCAGTCAGAGCCTGCAGGCTCTACAAGCAAGCTCACAGTTACCACAACCCCTCAGTCACAGCCTCGGCTAAAGCAAGATGGCTGGTCCACTAGGTAGCAGTTATATTATCCTAAGCGTGATTACATTTGGCCAATTTGTAACTCATGTCGCTTCACATAGGTTGTTTGGTTTATACTTGCGTGGGTAAGTTACTGTAACATAGTAAGAACCCAGGCAGAACAACCATGACCCCACTGATTGCTTTGCCACTAATTTGACACCTTGAACATTACTCAACATTAAAAAGATCTGGCAAAATAACTAATTACAATATACTAAAGGTGAAATCTTTTAGAAATATTTCTTCTTTGAGAACACTTGGTTGTGATCATAAAACAATGAATGACATTCATGGTGATTTGGATCGTTCTACATAGATCAGGGAATTTAAAATGTAACATACACATACAAACACTCCTAGGTTTAAATCCGTATCAATCAGTGGCCCCTGGGTACCATTCTGTGTCGGGGGGCAGTACCTGCTAACCATGGAGTAGGCATCTTCTGGGAGTCTGACAATTTCTGCCATTCATATCGCAATGGAAGTGAACCTTCTTTGGGTTCACATTTTAATTTGAAGTCATTTCCAATCTCTTCAGATCCATCCACAAAACATCTCGTACCCGAAGGCTTAACTGAACAAAAAGGAAACAAGTCACCGCTTTACCTAAGAGAGTGGGATTTGTTTTTCTAAGGGATTACTTAAGAACAAAGTATGATGCATAGCCACTGACTCCTTTATCAGCCACTGCCGGGCTTGCAAAGCACAAGAGAACAAAGAATGATATGCTGTCAACACCAGTTTATGCAGCTGTATCCAACACAAACAGGCAATGAGCTCAGGCAAGCAGCCATGGCATAGTTTGGCGACATCTCAAATGCAGCTCAGTGCATGGCCATTCCATTCCGTAGCCACAAGTCAAAAAAAGCATGGCGACGAGGCTGGGTGATGATGCTCCCAGGAGCTACCTTCCATTCCTTACCTAGTAGTCTCTGTCCTTGAAATGCATCCATCTGTGAGTATGTGCCAAATCACAGCTCTCTAGGTGTCGTTACTGGACAAGCTGGGCACTTATTAATAACGCTGATAATTGGGACAATCCACTTTAGTGCAGCACAGACCATTTAACGTTAGGTATTACATGAATTCAAGTCCACTCAGACAGCAGCATCATAAAAAGTAAATTGGAGGTTATCTTTCAGACTTCTGAGCAGCGGTGTAGAGTAAAAACTAATCTCATTATCTTCACCGCACCCCAACTCTGGCCTAATAGTTTGGCATTGCGCCGTTCTGCGTCTCCTTGAAGCATGGCATTTATGAAGTCAAATTAATATCTTAGTCAAATGTGTTTATATAATCTTTGTATAGTACTCTAGTCGGTAACTGGTTTCAGGACCATATGGGTATAAAAATATGAGGACTCTCAACTGTTTTACATAAAATGAAATAGTTTTCACTAAACCTACTCCTGTTTAAGACATTCAATTACCTATAGATTGCTCATAAATCTTATTACAATGTAAATAATACTTAGTTGTTATAAGGAGTATGACTGGCTGGAAAAAAAAAAAATCACTAAAAGTCTGTACATAAATGTCTCCAAATAGTTTTTGATCCATGATCGGTTCATTGTGAAGGTATGAAACCCAGGAATAAAAAAAAAGACTGACTGTACATCCACTAAGCAAGCAGCCATGCGACAGCCTTACTTCTAAATCTGGCTAGCTGGTCAGATTTCTATCACATAGCATAGATCTTTCCTCCCTCTGGAATCATGACTGTAATGAAGAATGTTATGAATATTTTTGGTCTTCTATTCCATTAAGTTTTTTAGAGTAAACCATGTTGTGTATATGAGAAGTCGCCTTCATGAAATGCTGATTACCCTTCTACTGCACCAGCACAACACAAGTGTGACTTCCCATTCAGCTACTGATGACCTTTATAGTCTGGGGACAGACAACTGTAAAACCTCCTTAGCCGAGAGCACCAGGAGCAAGCGCGCTGTCTGCGAAATCAGAATCAACAGCCAGGGAAGTATAGAATGCTGCTACAAGAGGCAAAAACCTATAAAGGATTTTGGGGATGCTCTGAAAAAAGCAGACACCAGCTCCCAGGCAGCTGTTTCTGAGGAGAGAGCAGGAGAGTGGAGACTAAACATGGAGTGGGTCATGTCAGGAGGGAGGGTCCATTAACGGTGAGTATCCTAGTGAAGAGGGGTAGGGTAGGGCAGGGTCGGGCTGGGAGCAATGCTGGCCAAACACTACGTCATTCTTTTCATTTTGCTTTTGGGAAGAACAATGTTTGCTGCAAAGGCTGTGGTTGGCTTAACCATCTGCCATTCCTGTCTGACAAGTGCCGGAGCTGTTGATTTTCCTCAGTCTAAGTTGATTCTCGTGTGCCTTCGGTTGTACGTTGAGTTTTCCTCATCTCACCTGTTACGAATAAACGTGAGCACTGGAACACTTATCCACACTAAATTTTAACGGCCATTCATTCCTACTGCTACCGCAAGTGTGCTTAGCCAAATTGCCATCGTGTTGTTCCACCTACAGAAGGCATGCCTGTCCACAGTCACTCTGAGAATAGAAATGCAAATGCCACTTCTTCCCAATGTACCCTTCCCCAATTTTTGATAGCCAGCTGTCCATCACATTATGAAGAATATGAACACCAGTATGAAATGCTCGACAATTTATCTGAACTCAGTACTTCCAGGATGGTGCTGGAAGAAGGTAGCATCCGCATCAGATCTGAGTAAGAGTTCAGACCTCTGGTTTGAAGAAACTGTCAGCGGCTTATGCAACTGACGAACATAAAAGAGTCCATGTTTACATGATATAAACACAACTAGCATTTCCAATGATGCCACATTCCCTTCTCTGGAACCTTATTCAGGTTCGCTTTCACATCATAGGAAATCCTTTTAACTAGAGCCATTTAAGATGGCATGTCTTTAAGATCAGAACCCCTCGGGTGCCAAGTCAGTACCAGCAACTAAGACAACCTCAGCAGTTGCCATTGGAATGCAATGGACAGCGCCTAGTCCCTGTCTGCTCATACAGGCACGCTTTAGCAGAGGCTGTGGCCAGAAAACTTACTCATCCTACCCTAAATCTCTTATGTATTTATTCCCAAGATTATCTTGAGTAATTCTAGTAATCAACTTTTCCTACAAAAAGTGTGTCTCCCTGAACATAAGACTTTTGAGTGCCAAGGCAGGGAAATTACTAACATACAACAGCTGACAGCTGTGTTTTACTTGATGGAGGTCAATACACACTGAGTATCCAGTCTACCACAAGAAGTTTTAGAGATATATTTGAGTTATAGGCTTTCGGCACCTCCCAAGTTGAAGAGATTAATTGTACACATTATTTAACTTTCTAAGGATGAATGACTAGCCTCTGCAGTCTTTGACAGCCTACTAAGAAGTTGACACATCTCTCGTGTAGCTATGCAACGAGAGTTACAAGACATCCCAGCAACCATCTAATTCCCTCAACTGAAGAATAAAAACAGTGATTGCAAGGAGGGAAATAACACCTCCATCCTTATTCCAATCCCTTCTACCATAGTACATCACCTCCAACTGAAATACTCCAGCAATTTGAGGACAGATGGCTCCGTGGATGCCAACAAGTACTCATTAAAGCTCTTGCAGAGGACCCAAATTCAATTCCCAGCACCCACATCTGACAGTTCCTCACTGCGCATGACTCCAACTCCATGGGGCTCTGACCCTCTGGCCTGCATGGGCACTAGAACACACATGCATACCCACACACAGACATCCACATAGACATACTTGAAAATAAAACAAATCTTTAAAAATACAATAACTCTAAGTAATTAATAATAGAAACTTCATCTATCCTTATGAAATTAAAGGTTTAAACATAAGCACTTTAAAACTGAAAAATATCTTAGGCTTAATGATAACTAAATCTTTTATGTTTCAAAGGGATAGGATGAAGTCAAAGGAAATGACAAGTTTCAACTAATTCTCAGGGAAATTTCTGAAGATAAAACAACAGTAACCAAAAAAACAAAATAAAACAAAATCTTATAGCAGTTAAGGTTAACCCCTGGTTTAGTCTGGTTTTTGTTTGTCTTTGTTTTCTATTGCTATAACAAAATACCTAAAGGTAAGGAAATTTATCTTGTAATCCTCGAGGTCCTCCAAGAAGATGATGTCAACTGTATCTGCTTGGTTTCCAGTGAGGACCTCTCATGACCAAAGCAAAACTGGCATTTGAAGAGAGAGCCCTGAAGGGGTCAAAGAAGTGTGACAATCTGCCTTCTCTGTAACTGATCTAGCATCAATGAAACTACACAGATCCCTTCACGACAATGGAGGCTTACCTAAAAGATCCACCCACTTTCTAAGTCTCAATGAGTTTTGGTCACTACATATTCAAACCATATTAGGGTTCTACTTCCATTGCCTAAGACCTTTTCATTTACTTTCACAAGTAGGCAGACCTCTTCCTTTCTCCATTCAAAAAAAAAAAATATATATATATATATATGGACTAAGTCTGTTTTCTGCTATCCAGCGATATCACTTTGTCATTAAACCAGCTTTGTCTTCCATAGATGCTGATACTACATGCTGTAGCCACTTTCCCTGTACCCATGGAACCCCCATTGACACAAGGAATGATAACTTACCAAGAACTGTCAGCAGAAATTTCTTATTTGCAACCCCAGGAGCTTTCTTCACTTTGCACTGATATGTGCCAATATCAGATAACTGCAGATTCGTTACATTTATAGACGCATCGCCAGACGTGACATCATTACTCGTAAAATGTACTCGTCCTTTCAGATCTGGATAGTAGTTATCATAAATTTTGTCTCCAGAATACAAAATAATCTAAAACAAAAAGCAAAATAAAACAAGGAGATAACAAAAAAAAAAAAAAAAAAAAAAAAAAAACTACCTCGTTTCCCAACTGTCCATACTTCCCAGTACAATCCCTTGTTCTTGCCCTGAGACTCAAGGGCAAAGAGTAGAACCAAACTCAAACAACAGGGCCATAGCTGGGCCCTCTACACATAAGATTCTTATTTGAGCAGTATGGGGGAAAATGACACACATGAATACCTTTTCCCCAACATTGATGTAAAATGCAAAAACAGAAAAATGTATTCTGAAACACCAGCTATCTAACCAAACACAGGATGAGAAAGCAGGAGAATCAAAAGGGACTGAGCTCTGGCATCATGCTTCATTTCAGAAGGGGACACCAAAGCGGAGTAGGATTACATCATATGCCCTACCGTGGCTGGGAAAAAAAACAAACAAAAAACCCCACCCACAAACACAACCATAATCTACACAGACTTCTTGTCGAAGATATTAATTATGTGCGGGACAACTAGAAAAGATCTCAAGGATATCTTTTTCCTGAGCGCCTCTGTGTTTGACTCCTTTTGGATGTCTGCTAACTGCCCAACTCCAGGTCACACTCAAGATCAGATTGCTGAGTAAACACACAGAGCAGCTGAAGCTGCCAGCTCTGGGCCTGAATACACTAGCCATTTCCTTGCTCCTTAGTCAGGCCACACCCACTGACCAACGTCGACATCAGTCAACATTCATGAGCCCATAAACAAGACACTCTGTCTTCCTCCCTATACAAGTTTTTCACTCGACCTGTGAAAAGCTATAGAGTTCAACCAACTCTACTTCAAAAGACATGACACACCCATCCCATTTGTGTTTTAAGAAGCACCACACAGATACTGCTTTCCTATGACTGGCTTAAAAAAAAGGGGGCGGGGGGGGGGACAACTAGCATTTACCAGGCAATTTTACATGTCTTTGCTGATTTCTTGCAACGTGGCAAGGATGGTGGGATTGTCCCCTTGTAACATTTATACTAAGAAACTACCGGTCCTCGTTAAGCTATAAGCCAGTCCTGCGGGGAACAGTATGAGACTAAGACTAATGCTTCTATATTCCTTCCAAGCTGACAAATAATTCTGTGTGCAGTATTTCATTAAATTCTTCTAAGAGGTAGCTGGGGCATATGACCGCCCCCCCCCCTTATCAGACTTATGAGGAAATGGATTTATGGAACATGGGAGACGGAAGGACAACGCAAATGATAACAAAAACACGGGTGTGAGAACTGCAGAGGTCTGGGCTCAAATCCCAACTACTAGCTAGATGGCATTGGCCTCGTTCCTTCACATCTCTGAGCCTGTTTCCTCACTTTCATAAGCATAACCGTGCGTACACTACAGAGCCATTTTTAAAGCTTAAACAAGTATGAAGAGTCACGTGCTGCATACAGATGTCTGTCAACCCCTGAGTATGGAGACTACGGTGTGGCAGCATGACTACTTCCCAGTCATCTTACGTCTGTGCGTTCTATGAGGTTCAAATGGTTGTAAAATCTGACGTTGATATTCTCAGAAGATGTTCTTCCTGCCGAAACGAGCATGGCTATATAACTAAAGCTTGGCCAGGATGTGGTACATAGTAAAGTGTCACACAGAGATTAGACTAGGCACTTCTCCAGCCCTGTCTACCTGCTAAGTTACCTCTAACTTAGTGCAGCTAACATATGATATAGCTAGAATTCTCTTCTCCGGAGATCTCTCCTTACCTGCCATCTTCCCTTTCATCCGCTTTTACCGTGCATTAAATATGAAGCTGGAATTTTAATCCAGAAACGGCCACTTCAGACCAAGAGCCCCTATCACAGTTTTCTGCTTCGTTCTTAGCTTGGAAGATTTGAGACCCTCCTTGCATGAACTGACAGGCTCGGGGCACGCCTTGTCAGCCCGTCTCTACATACAATTCATCACAGACTTCACCTTCTCCTGTAACTCAGAAGGACTGAAGGCCCATGCTCTCCTGGGTTAATCACAGGTTCAGAATGCTGAGCAGGACGAGGGAAGGGAGTGTCGAGCCTCCATTAGAAATGTGTGTTCAAAGTGCAGACATCCTCACTCAGAGACTGGGGGGGGGGGGTGTTGGGGGGGGGGGTTAGAGTGGACACAGCCACCGGGTATCTGGGACGATGAGAGTCAATGAGACAACTCTTTGTTGGGGCTCCTTTTGCTTCGGAAACAGACGCTTCTGGTCAAAGGATTGGGGCAGAGGTAAATCCATAGCCCTTGTCACTGACAACTACGGCACGTTCTTCTGCCTTCCTTCACAAATTTATCAAAACAACTCATTTCCCGGCTGCACTAATCCAATCATTACATGGAAGAATTTCATTTCCAGTTGTAAAATAACCACTTCCCTCTTATTTGGACAGTAAGTAAAATTGTTTTTTTTTTTTTTTGGAAAGTGGTCACACTGTGGAGCGCAGTCTGTCTTCTGCCTCGGCCTCTGAGCAGGAAAATGGGAAGTGTACACCGCCACGGTCAGCTCTTATCAATCCTTGTATCACCAAACCCCCATAAAATCTTGAACTACTTTCTTACCTCTGGCCTAACAGCTTTTGAATGAAACCTGTCAGATGACATTACCACATAACATTCTAAATAAAGTGAATCCTAAGCTTGTAAGTAAGCATGTTAGGGGTTTTGTTGTTGCTCCCCACCCCCACGCCTTTTGATCATTTTGTGTGCTAGGAAAAGGAGCTTATCACTGAGAAGGAGAACCTGACTTCAACCCCAGGGGTCCACATGGCGGAAAGCTGCCTCTAACCTCCACCGGCTCACCGATACAGCACTCACAGGCGCACAGGCATACAAATAAATAAAAAGTAAAACAACAAAAAAGAGATGCCATTCCCTTCTTATTTAACTTGAGGAAATATGGAAAATAGGCTCTAGCGATAATATGGTACATCTTTCTTACAGTACATTATTATCTTCTATCTTCTTCTATCAAAGTCCCAGATACCGTGTACACTTCCGTCTGCCTCTGTTCCCTCCTTGGCCCCTCATATGCACATCCAGACTTGCAGAAGCTTCCCTTGGTCCTTGAAGTACCCTTCACTTACTTCACTCTTCACATAGCCACTATCTGCTTGGGGGTGTCAACCTCACACACCTGAGCGGCTGGGGGCTTCCTCCTACCCCACTACACCCGGTCTATGCCAAGGCACGCCCAACATCGGCACTGACGTGTGCAGTGGCCGGCACTGATCAAACTCACCACTTGGTCCACCTTCTGGTTATCAGATGGAGACAGCAGCCACTCGATGTCCAGTGGTCCCTGGTCTTCGGGACTAAGTGTAAACTTGCATGGTAGATAAGCAGTTTCTCCTTTAGCCTTTTCGATACTCTGTTCAGGAGTAGTGATGCTCAAACCTCTGCTCACATCTGTGGAAAGAAACACATACCTGGGACTAAGCTTCTGCTATTGCCCGGGCACATGGCCCTGTGACCATTCATGACAGCACGGTGATATGGAGTTTGCGTTCAGAGCAACAGAGTTCTGGGTCTGTGGTGACTTTGTATTGAGTGCACTGATACTAAGATATCCACACAATCCCCTTTCAGAGCACTGTCAACTTCCCTTCCCAGCTTGTGGGCTGAAGCCTGGAACTCATAACCCTGTCTCAGCGGACCAAGTATTGCAATTACAAAGGTGTACCACCAAATGGGCTAGAAAATTAGTTTTGCTGGAGATGAAGATGCAACTCGGTTGCCTAGCACCTACACATTCTCAGGAATGTGAACAGTTGTTTGTTTGTTTGGAGTGTCACTGAACATGCATATATCTTTAATTACAGCACATGGGAGGCAGAAGCAGGAGAATCAAAAGTTAAGTAGGCCAGCCTGAGATACATAGTAAGATCCTGGCTCAGAAACAGAAGAAAAAAAAAAGGATTTGCCATCAAAGCCAAATGTGGCAGCACATTCATGAAACCCAGCATTAGGGAAACAGGAGCATTGAGAGTTTCAGCACCCACCCCCAGAAGCACAGGCAGAGAGAACACACCACCATGGCACCATGGTAGAGCACTTGCCTAACATTTAAAAGGCTCTGTGAGTTGTGAGTTCTATTCCCAGTACCATTAAAATAATAATAATAAAAAAAAAAGGCAGAAAAGGAAGAGGAGGAGGAAGAGAGAGAGAAAGGAAGGAAGGAAGATTCAGCGGTGGTGGTGGTGGTATGGGCACAGGAGAGCTGATCCCCAACGTCTACCCCATCAGTGACCTGCTGGAGCATGTGAAGTAATCAATCGTACAGAATGACAGACAGCCACAGGGTTCCCATGACTTGGGCCATAGCAGAGTGGATATCTAAGAGGACTTTCAGTGAGGGTCCAGTATTTGATGGTGTACTAGAAACCACAGGCCTCGAACCAGACCAACAACTCATTGCAATGAACATTTGCAAGTAAAGCTGTTTGGGCAGTAATCATGTTACCTGAGATTTTTGTGACACCATAGAAGACGCTCTGTTGCTCATTTTAATCTTCTAGTTTGAAGCTTTTACTTGTATGATCCAACTTCGAATGTTTATAGCAAATACTTTTTCTCCATCTTAGCTCCCCCCTCCTTTTTTTTTAGGAAAACAAACCTCACTTTTCTCTAGGGGTTTCCTTGCTCAAGATAATTTGAAACTCTCATCTTTACTTCTCTTAAAAAATGAAGACGAAGGAGGAGGAGGGGGAGGAGAAAGAAGAAGAAGACATTAAATTTTCTCAGCATTTTGTACCTTTGCATGATTGAGAAAGCTCACAGAAGATCATGTTGATGGTTTAATGTCCACTGGGACAGTGTATGCCATCCATCCAGACAGAGCTGCCTCCCCTTGGAGCAACAGCTCCTTCCATTTCTCTGTTTGTGCGTTTCTCCATAGAATCTGATCTCCTACGGGCTTAGTAGGGGGTGACATCAAGGGCTGAAAAATACTCTTTGATGATGTCACATGACTTTGATGTTCAGTGAGACAGGGCAGCAGAGTCTTCAGAGACCCAAGGATTTAGAAATTGGAGATAAGAAAAGCAAGCAGAAGGCTGGAAGATGTTATTGCAATTAGTGTCCATGCAGAACGGGTGTCACTCTGTTTATTTATATACTCCAGCTCTGAGCACTCATAACTGGCCTCTGCAAGGAATTGTGGCTTGAATTTTGGTGCCGTTTATTTCATTAAACCCTGAAAATCCATTTAAATGAAATGATAAGATTTAATATTTGATTTCGTTTTCAAACTCTGTTTGAACCCAGAGTAATTTTGCCAGCTAATTTATCTGTTAGCTTACTGAATTATTACCAATTGACAGAGTCACTAAATGAGACCAAGTGTGTCTGTCTTTTGTTTTATACAGTTATGACTTGCATACCTTAGCCCTTGGGGGGGAAGGGAAGGATGCCTCTTCAGAGAGAGCTCTCGGTGTTGCTAGGAAACTCAAGAACTCTCTTGTGAAGATCTTGAGGTTTCAGTTCATTTTTAGCACAACACAATCATTTATGAGACTGCTTAAAATATCTTAAGCAGAATAGCATCTCCGGGTATCCGAGGGGCCTACTTACAGGCACCCACTCAATGCACATATAAAGGGAGGTAGTTTCTGCACATAGCCTAAGCATGTTGTCTACCAGCAAAGGGAAATCCAAGACAGACCACTTGGAATGGAGGAATCCCTTCTGGCAGATTTTTTCTATTTCCCTGACATTTCTAAATTTGATCTGAATATAATTCAATCTCAAATTATCTTCAGCAAATTTATAAGGTGATATTTTAAGAGACAAAGGTACTTACATGTTCCCTACCCCTAGGGAAGCTAATCATGTAATGGTAAATCGGATTTCTACCTTAAAAGGTCCCACACAGGGCAGCATTGGCAAGAAAAGCACATCAGCATTGAGGAAATGTGGCGTAATGTGGATGCTGAATCTTGATGGGTGATAATGGAAACAGGCGGTATCATGAGCGTGCCTAGAAGGAAGGACAGACAACTCACCTGAGGTGAAGAGGTGGTGCAATGAATGTGTTTTTGAAAATGAGGTAGGCATTGGACTGGATTTATTAGACATTACATAAAGGATCCCAAGGTTCCAATACCTCTTCAGCAGGGAGTCTAGAGATGCCACACGTCAGTGTCAAACCGTGTCTTAATAAACCAAATATGTAGGTAGGAAAGAGACTGAAGGCCAGCACACTTTCATGACAACGGTAAGCTGTTGCTTGATCTCAGTAGGTTTAGATGGTGGATCACCAACCTTGCTATGTGGAAAACCAGCCCCAACTCTAGAGACTTAACACAGACATCAGTGTCCATGACCCCCCGGTATTGGTAGGCTAGGACGAGAAGGGAAGGCCTGTGCTCGCTCAGGGCACTGCAGAAGCTGGTCTAGAAAGGCACTGTGGATGGTGTGGTGTGTTTGCATCTTGGGCTGTCACAGCTGCTGTTCACACACACGCCTCAGTTATTTCCTACGTGGATTGTTTGTACAAGGAAGATATTTAACAAAAGCCAAGACCAATAAAACATCAAAAACTGAGAATGTTAAGTAGTACATCCTATCTTGGAAACAACAGAGGACCTAGGAAATGGCTTTGTGCATTTTTAGGAATTGTGGCTAACTCCTACAGTGAAGATTTCTGTGTGTAAGGGCATTATCCACCCAAAAAGTTATTCCCTGAAGTACTATAAAGCAAGAAAACATCTGAAAGCAATCTCATTGTGGAAAAACAAGCAGGAGAGAGAGTTGAGTAATAAAGTCTACACAAGACAAAGGGCTACAGCAAATACACCAGGTGAAACCAGTCTCCAACAACAACAACCAAAAAAAAAAAAAAAAACCCAACCAAATTTGGTTTGCTGTGGCAAAACTGAATTTCACTCACATTAACAAAAGTATAGCTAAATACTGTTCTTTGGGTTCCGTTTCAATTATTTACCTAACCATTTGGTCAAATCACATCATTGAAAAGGTACATGGCCTTAATTAAGCTCACATGTATAGAAACTCACACTAATACAAGAATCACTTGGAGAATTAGGCTAATGAATGCTCCCACAATTTAAGTGTAAAAGTTCTGTTTTGTGACTTGGAGTTATGGCCTCTAAGGTAGAGATCTGAGCTGAGCACGGATTCTCCATCTTGTCAGGCAGAGATGAGAAGGTATCTGCCTGCAAGCCAGGGAGAGGCCCCTCACCATAAAACCAAAATGGCTGCCGCCTGGCCCTGCCTTTCTCAAGCCTGCAGATTTGTGAGAAAACCAGTTTCTTTACTTCAGCAATCCTCTCTGGTATCCTGTTTATGGTAGTAGCCCGGAGAAATGAATGCAGGTGACTGCCTCAGAGAACTCCATGGAACAGGTGTGCTATTTATTACAACAAAAACTCCCAAGTATGATGATCTAAGAAGCATAATGAGAATTCACAAACCTCATCAATGCATTGCCAGGACCATCTAAGATGGTCCCTCCAGATAAGCAGGACATAGTTTGTCCACGAAGGTATAGAGGAACTCCGTTCATTTCATTTAATTAAACTTTATTAATTTCCTGTAAGTCAGGCATCATTCAGGGGTTGTGAATGGACTTTTTGATTTAGCTGTTACAAATCCTCCAACAACGACACCAAACTGTTACTCACAGGAAATCCGGTCGATGGTCAATAGTACTGTCACCTAATTAACACTAATGTATAATGCAGAGGGACACAACAGGAGATTATAGAAGCACTGGTAGCAGAAATAATAATAATAATAAATAATGAAATACCACAGCAAAAGAATTCAGGAACAGGAAGTGTAAATACTGCTTAAGTAAAGATAACCTTTGTATATACAACAATTGAAAATGAGGAAGGCATGAGTCACCAATGGTTTTAAAGACGGGCTGGAAAACCATTTATGATGCAGCCCACTCCCTCAGTACACGACATCCTCTACCAAGTACTTACACTCAGATTCCTCCTCTGCTCCATCTCTTAGGCCAACTCCTGTTCTCCACTTCATTCAGTCACTTCTTCCAGGAAACATGCCTTTTACCCATCTATGGGCTGAACCAGGTGTCTCCTCACATTGAACCAGCTGCGGTGACAATGCCACCATAAGCATTTATCTTGCTGGTTCATGGTGGGTCCTTTCCAGTGACCACTTCACTTCTGACTTTAATTAAAGTCTTGGGCCACGAGAATCATGGCCTGGCCATCACGGCTCTTTTAGCATAGCAGATTTCCAAGTACACAGACAGAAGTCGGGAAGCATTTGCTAAGTGAGTGGCATTGACTTGTCCTTGTCCTGTCACTGAACAGGCAACACGAAGGTTTGGAAATGCATTTTCTGCTTCTGCCTATAGCCTCCAAATGAAGCCTGACCTCTAATGGCATGCTGGGCGATGTAAAAAAAAAAAAAAA